AATATTGTCTCTATAGTCAGATGCAAGTTCCCTTTAGCAAAATAATAATAATAATAATAATACTTAAATACCCAGGTTTGCTCCTCCCTACGTTTCATTTATATGAATCTAGATTTACTCTTATTAAAGGAAGAAACAAAGAGCAAAAGCAGATGAAACAGCAAGATGACAGGTTTGGGCACCCTTAGCCAAAGCTAACAAATATAGGACTTAGTGTTGGCTTCTTGAACCTGGAACATGGAAATTGCAATAAAGAGTTAAAGGCAGATCAAAAACCTTTGCTTCCTGCCATCAATGAAGCAAAGGACAGTATGTGTTAAAGAGTTTGGTTTGAGAAATTTGTGAAATAATGTTTCCAACAGACTTTGTTAATCTTATTCAGCCAATTATTCAGTGTCTCTAGAACTAATGGAAACCAAGAGGCATTGAGTCCAAATTTTCAAATAATAAAATCATAAATGCATTAAAATTTAACTGTAGGAATAGATATAAACAAAAATACTCATTAGCATGTAGCTCTATGGTTTCTATTCCACAAAGCAAAACAAATGCAGAAGCATCTTTTGAAACTTGGGAGAGTGCCCTAGTTTCTCTCATACATAGAACTTACATAACTGAAAACCATATAACATCCATTCTAACTATTTTCAATGTGAAAAACACCACTGGTATTCTCTTCCGTTGTGCATAATAATTGTTATTTGGGGTTGGAAGATTAGAAGGACTGTTTTTAAGGATGGTTCGTGTTTTTACGTACATTTTCAGTACCCCAGGCATATTTTTCCCATAAGATCTTAAATTACTCACAGCAAATCATCCTCCCAGGAATGTAAGCCTCATGTTGAGTTGGACTATTATACCTAAAGAATCATACATAATCACAGCCTTCTCTCTCACCTTTCAATCACTGATCTATCAGCTCCAATTTCACTGTGTGAAACATGAAAATTTCCTTCACAGTCAATATTAGTATTTTACCAGCTGCATCTCCACAGACTATAGTCTGAGCACACAGAAATCAGAGTTGGAAAATAAGAACAAACTCAGCACCAGAAGACACTACCACCTCCCTGGGCACTGGGCCTTCTTGCTTTCCTGAATCCCATTTTCCCATTAAAAAATAAATTAAAGTTATATTTTATAACTACAGTGGTTTACAGTGAATATACTAAAAATCATATATTCAACTTTTTATCTAAATGTTCATCTTTAGTTCTGTTGCTAATAGAAATTAAAATATTTTGTGAGTTCCTAAAAGTGTTATGGGCCCTATAGATATTGTGCCTATTATGTTGATGAATAAGCACCTGGAGACATATAAACCTTCTCCTGTGGAGACAGAAGGGGATCATCTCCGGTTCAGTGTGTCTAAGTCTGGCTACACATGAGAATCAGGTGAGGATGTTTCAGAAAGTGCAACAGGGGTTCACAACTAGACCCCACTCCATAGAATGACTCAATTTGGTCTTGTGTAGGTTCTGAGAGAACCTATATTTTCAAAACCTTTCTAGGTGATGACAAGGTACAGCTCAAGGTAAAATCTTCTGTGTTTCTTTAGACATTCCCAACCCAGTTCTTTAGACAGTGACTATAGCAAATGTAAACCGTTGCCCAAATGCTAAAGGGAGAGAAGGATGGGGAGGACAAAGAGGAGGAGTAAGGGGTGAAAGAGATACAGGAGGAGGAGAAGGACAACAACAATAAAACAAAGGTTTTGATCATCCTCATGTGCAAACCACTACTTTAACGTAACTGTGTTGCTGGGCTCTTCAGCAGAGCAGTAACAACTCTTCCTCTTCATTGTTATTTCCTTTGCACTTTCACAAGAAATAAGCCCTATCAGGGAGGGTGAAATCACATTTGCTGAGGTATTTCTATACCAACACAGATACATTCTTCCTCTCCGAGGCCCTGGGAGTGTGGACTTTCAGGAATCAGGCTCTATCAAGGCACAGGTGAGGTGCCATTCACCCCAGGCAGCACACGTGTGAACCAAGGGAAGGCAATCAGCAGGATGTCCTGCAGGTGGGAAATTAATTAACTGCTTACATAGAGTCTGGAATCTCTGAAACTCCTACCTTCAGAGATCAGGTGGAATTGAGATCAGATTTACTTGTCTTGGGGAAAAGGAAAGAAGCCTGAAATTCCAGAGCAAAACCAGACACTTGGACGATATGAGTCTTTGAGTCTAATGGGAAAAGCAACATTCTTGTGCTTCGTTGGTGTTTTTTTCAGGATCTGTGTTTGGAACTCTAAGACCGCATACGGCAGACCACAGATTAAATCGCCATTGAAAACCTTGTTATTCTGGCGTGTTCTCTAAACCCAAGCCTAAAACCTGACAGAAAGCAATTTTGTAACAGAACTGATTTATGAATTAGGGATGACCAATTGAAAGTACTAATATCAAAAGGCAAAACAAATAAAAATCAGAGGGGAAGAAATAGGAACGAAAGTTTTGTCTCAAAAGTAAAAAATAAAGATGATGAGCTGTCAAGGGAAAGAAACTTTCCACTCAAGGTAGGTTTTTTAAAATAATCCCCTATCTCCTGTTCTTGCCCTGCTCTGAAACAGAGAAAAAAAATCTTTGAATGAAATATAGTTATGATTCAGAAGGAATCATGACCATGACATTGAAGAGTCAAACACACTCCTCCTCCTCAGCCTAATTTCTAGAAAAAAGTGAACAACTCAAAGCAAAAGAGGAGGTAGCTTCAAAACCAAGCAGTACTTACAAACAGGAGATATTTAAAAAGAAGTTGCATATAATTGCTTTAAATTTTGTGCTAACTGAATATCATCTTTTTAAATATTACAGATATTAATAAACATTTCATTATGTTATGTCTTACTTTAGTTTTAAAAAACATGTCTGTACCTCAAAGTATTAAAGTTACCCCAAGCTAACAGTGTGATTTAGAGCAGAAGACTATAATGAGTCTTTTAGTTAGCTATGGGCTAACAAAAACTGCACAGCTCTCTAAATTCTGGGAACATATTTTACTTCCTAACCCTCTACAAACCATATTTCCTATTAACAACTAGATGGGAGAGTTGCCCTGGAGAGCTTCAGCTACTTTCTCTGGCAGAGGAAACTGATAAACATATGAATTTGACTTTATCTTTCTACTCTATAGTAGGTTACCTGAGTGCCTGCTACATGCTCAGCATAGCTTTGATACAGCAATTAGCATCTCAGCTCTTTCATACCAGTAAAATAAGTGATAATTACAGAAGACATCAGACAGGAAAGCTGTTAGCTGCCTGGGAGTCCTACCCTTATCCCTTTTCTGTCTGGTCTTCACACAATCTCTCAGGGTGACACTGTCTCATCCTATGGCTTTAAATACATGTCTATGAGGATGACAGCAAAGTCTACAACTCAAACCCAAATATCCCTCCAGAGCGCCAGACCCATATACCCCACTGCCCTTTAGGCATCTCCACTTAGATTTCCAACAGGAACTTCACACTTAACATGTCCAAAACTATCCTTGTTATTGCTTCCAAACCTCCTCTTCCTTCTTTTTGCATTTCTCATTTTATTAACCAACAGCTCTGTCTACCCAGAAGTCCTTGACTCATCCCCTTGTTTCACACTCAGTTCTACTCTATCTACAGATGTGTTGGGCTGAGAATGTAGCTCAGTAGTCGAGTGTGTGCCTAGCAAGCATGGGGCCCTGGGTTCAATCCCCCAGACCAAAAGAAAAAGGATGTTTTATTTGTCTGCAATCTGCCCACTTCTGCTACTACTACCTTGATTAGGGTAATGGTCATCCTAGTTAATTTACTACTAGGACTTTACTACTGAAACTGCTTTCCCTGCCTTCTCATTCTCCACAGAACCCGTAAGTCAAGAAAGGGATCTTAAACACTTTCGTACCTTGGATTCCTTAGGCAAGCTGGTAAAAGCTATGAAAGTTCTTAAATTACTATTTGTTAGAATGTTTTTAAATAACTATAATAAAAGCATGGGATTACAAAAGTAGACAGTTGGGAGCAATCTCCAGTTGAGAAATTTTTCTGACTCACTAATGAGATCTTGTCATTTTCCTGGCATGAGACACCCACAGCCATCATGTTACTATATGCCACCCTAAATAACCCTCCCTTCCCTACATGAAGTGGACCACTGAAGTCATCATACTCAGCTCATGCTGACCTCCCTCCTCTACCTGCCTAGTACATACATTTTTCCTTCAATGTTTACTCAGCCCAGGTGTCACCTCACTCAGGTAGCCTCCCCTAGCGTCCCAAATCTGGGTTAATGCTACCACATGCACTCCTGCTGTTTGTCATGGGCTTTTTTACATTGTGTTATCAGTCTACTCTGCTATCCCTTTACCTCTTTGATGACTGGGCCCACATCTTATTTATCTTCACATCCTTTTCAGAGAGCCACATCCAGAGCAAACCCCCAATCATCACTTGAGGTTATTGGTGGGATAAAGGAATCCCTTATCCCATTTGCTCAAAAGAAACTGCACACTCCACAGGCATCAATCACTGAATGTACAAAACTACAATCCCATTTCAAAAGTTGAAGAGAATAAAAAGAAATACTTGGAATTTCTACACTTGTGCAAAAGAAAAACTAATTACCAGGTAAGTATTTATAATTTAATAGCCAGAAATAGTTCTACTGAGTCATGTGGGGGAAGACAAGACAACGTACCAACACTACCACCTTGGGAAGCCCAGTCAGTTTCACACTTACTTCAGCTAATCTTGAATGCTTGTGGACCACCTCTGTTTTATTCATTGGCGTAAGCTGCTGCAAAACACTTCGGCTATTTGTCAAAGCCCTTGTCAATCGGGCAAATTTTGTCCAACCTTAAAAAATAAGAAAAAAAAAAGTGTCAGTTTTTCATACAGAATGAATAAGGATTCCAACGCTCTTGGTATCATTCAAAGGGTCTCACAACCATATAACACCAGAACAAATGAAAAATATCAATATAATGCTTTTTATTGACCTGGACACCAACCAACTTATACTTGAAGTGTGCCTACAAGGTAATGAGCAACTTTTATGTGGGACTTTTGTGTTTTGCTCATGTCTATCACATATCCAAGGCAGTTCACGAAATTCTGTGCTCCCACTATCATTGTGTGGATTTGTTGCTGGAAAATCAGTGCCTATTTCCAGTTCTCAGCATTTCCCACTACTCCCTGCATTTAGGAACTAGGCACATATCCCAAGTTCTCACCAATGGAATGTAATCAGAAATGACGTGTGTCACATCCATGTCACAACTTAAGAAGCAAATGTGGCTTCTGCACACTTTCACCTTCTTATGCCAGCTGTATGCAAATGATAAGGAATTGAGAATCAGAGGTCAAAGTCACTGAATCACTGCATGGAAGAATGCCATATGCCAGCCAGGATCACTTGACTTGGACTGATACGAAGAAGAAAAACACTTCTTTTGTGTCAAATCAACCATTTTTTTTCTTTTATGAACACTAATACAGTATTATTGTTATTTTAAAGCAGCTAATAGTACCCTAATAAAAATGGTCCTAAATATATTTGTGTGCACATAAACACACGTAAGCAGAAAAAGACCAATATTAACAAATCTCACTTATTATGCTTCATATTGCATATTTCCATTGTCCTTGTAACAGCAAAATGTTATTTCTTAAGAACGGCAGTGATATCTAAAAATTATGTTTGAAATACGTAGAATTCTAATAATGCTTTCTGAAAGAGCAGTAGCTTCTGGGAGAAAGAAATGTGAATTTAATGGGAAAGAAATTTCATCTGGGGCCTCAAATTGCCATTATTAAAATCATTAATTCCAAGGAATGTCAATGAGATGCAAACAAACAGAATAAAACCAACCATACCCTGAACCTGCCTCAACTATTCCTCCTCTGGAATCCAGTAGCTCTCATCTACTAAATATCTCATTAAAACTATTTGATAACTTCTATGGTATTACCTGTTGTTGAGACATTTGCCAAACAACTTAAAAATGAAAGACTCCTACGGGTCTAAAAGAAAGTTTTCAAAGGCATTATGAAATTCAGATGTGTTAAAAGGTTAAGGAAGAAATTCTGGACGTACACCAACCTAAAGTTACATTATATTTTACTACTATCCTTTATGCTGATTCTGATTTCATTTCTACTTTGAATTGCTCCCACCAATTCAGCTCCTTCTATGTATTTAATAATTAGGTTGGGAAAGAAGTAAACTATCACCAGTGATGGACAGGCCTGCTTTCTTCTTCACTGATGGACCTCATCCGAGTGACTAGAATCCCAAAAAAAAGTTAAGTTTTAGAATTATATACAGCCCTAAGGCTCACCATGTACAATGTGAAGGAGACACAAAGAGGCACCAGATGCCACTGGCTCTCTAAAAACTCTATATCCATATAAAAACATGTAATCTCTCTCACCAACGCAGATTCTTCTCTTTGTCAGACCTGGGTGTCTATTTGCCATTGGCTGCCTCTTACTAAGATGCTCTACAGACGTCTGATATTCAACATGTCCAAAATTCACCTCATCACCATCTTGTCCCCCAGCCCCAACTCTGCATCATTCACGCATTCCTGATCTTGATCTATTGCCTCATGATATCTCAAATTGCATAAATCAGAAACTTGAAATTCACCATCCTCTTCACTATTTCCTACACACACACACACACACACACACACACACACACACACACACACACACACGCCCAATCACTTCTAAGCCTTATAGATTATAATTTGTCAATAAATCTCTCTCAAGTCTATTCCCTCATCCTTATTATGTCACACAATACATCATCTTTTATCTGAGTTAGGTGGCAAGGTCCACATCCACACTGCTGACTCACAAAGTTCTTCCTAAAGCACAAACCTGACCATCCACTTCTCCTATTTCAACCCTTGAGCAGCAGCCTGAAGCTCCTAGGATAACACTGTATATCTTTGGCATACAGATCATTTAGTTTCTGACCACAAAGATTTGCACCATGTTTATCTCCTGATGCTTTCTCACACTGTATTCCAGCCTTCCTAAAACAACAGCATACTATGTGACAATTAATCCAAAATAAAATCTACTAGAAATTCTCTGTCTCCCCTATCATGTCCCGTGTTTCCATGTTTTTACATGTTACAACATGTTATAACCCTAAATGTCTTCTCTCTTCCCCATCTGTTTGGTTAACCCTTACTGGGACCTTCAGATCAATTAAAGGATCACTTCTTTCTAGAAGCTTCTTCAATCCATCCCTAAGTGAGAAGTACCTTCCTCTGTACATTTGAGGCTGGGGCAAACGGACAGTCAGTGTAGGTAATGAATGATTGGGTCAGGAAGATAGGGGCTGATTCAAAGGAAATAAAATGCCAATCCCTCCAGAGCACTTCCCCTTCCTCCCACCTGTCGCCAAGGTCACCTGCCTCCAGGGAACTGTTCCTCCCAAAAGGAGTTGTCCATGAGTATCCCTTGGGTGACTCCCTTCCTGACTTTCTGGGCAGCTCCTCTCCAGGCTTTTGGTCACTGGTCATGTAGGCAAGATAAGGGGAGGAGGGGGCATAAGAAGAAGGGGAACCTAAAATGTATAAAAGGGAGAGGAAACCCCCCCTCCCTCAGATACCAGCTCTGAATTCACTTCTTCCTCAGGTGAAGTCTGTGTCTGTTCTATCCTTTAAATAAAACTTCTTTCCTGTACTTGCCTTGGCGTTTCTGGGGTGTTCAGTCCTTAACACCAGCACAACAGGGTCCCAGAATCTGATTCTCAATTCCAGTATCACCTCTGGTCTCACACTCACACCATACTTTACACACCACACGTGCCACTAACCACACCAATGCAGGTGCTGATTGACATTGTTACTTTTGCCAAACTACTATTCATCTCTCCATACTTCAGTACTTGATACAGAGCTACCATAAAGCAGGGCATAAAGAAGTAAATAAATAATTAGTTAAATTTTTATAACATTAAAAATCAGATTAAAAATAAACATCATTTTTGTTGTATTGTCATTGGGTTTTGGTTTGGTTTTGCTATATTGGCTAAAAGTGGCAAGAGTATTCTCAGATGGCAGTAACTACATTCACCATCAGCATATTAAAAAATTATATGAGGATAATTTCTCTGTCTTATATCAGTTGACTATTATAATTATATAGACTATTTCTAAAACCTTCCAAGACAATCTGAAGATCACAATTCTAAGATAGGTAATATTGTACCCCTTTGTACATCTGAGTTGGATTAAAAACGAAAATCATTTTTATTCCTATATACAACAAAGCTTATCTAGAAAACATTTTGAAAATTAAAGAAGAGATTAAAAGACTAAATTCAATGACACAAAGAATAATATGGAATCATTAAATGGTAGGTGCTCTCTCATTTCATATTATCATACAGAGAAGTACATGTATGAAAAGGAGAAACACACCAGTGGAATCTTATCATTATCTTCTGATTGTCTATTACTAAATAAGGAAACAGTAGTTCCTCATTAAACACCCCCAAAAGCTTGTTCACATACGTCTGTATGTATATAACTTGATTAAAATATGTAATAGGTAATGATCATACATAATATTATCAAGGAATATTCCATCTTTTCACCTTATTTTATTTTCCTAAAGAAAAAAAATTTGAAGCAGAGAAAATAAAACACACGCATTTTTCCCTCCATAGATAAAAATAGGACTACCACTGAACTATAATAGAAAGTGAAAGAAAAATGCAATATTAATTCAGCATTCTAAAAGTATTTTCAGTCAGTTTACTCTGATTGAAGGTTAGTCTCACTTTAGACTATTCTGAACATAGAAGAAAAGGGAATTTAGTAAGTAATTTGAGTTTATCACATTCTTTCTGTTCCTGGTTACCAAGAATGGTGACTGGCACATAGTGGTCATTCAATATGTTTTGTTGAATGAATGAATGAAGAAATGAATAAAAATATAAATAGGAATTAACACAGTATCTGCATTTTATGTACTTAAATCAAAATATAAAGAAAAAATATGCTCGACTTTTAGTAGGTGTTGGCATAATTTATAACCTAAGGATTTGGACTGGGAAAGGTAGCGAGAGGGGAAGGTAGAAGTTGAGGCTGTGGGTCGGGCGGGGGGATGCTGGAAGTACTAACAACTGGCTTCTACCGTCAGAAAAATCAAGGACCAACTAGCAGGGGGGAAAAAGGCAATGGCAAAGGGAAAACTGACTCAGACATACTGATAGATTAAGGAGGAAAGATCTAGAAAAGATTCTTTCTTTCTGGAGAAATCAAAGCCAAAGGCAATTGTCAAAGCGAGAGATCATTGAGGAGTTTGCTATCAAAATGCACTAAAGATGGAGAACCAATGCAAAGCCAAGGGTTGCTCATTTCACATTTAAAGCAATGGACGCACTGGAAGATACTCAATAATCCTTTTGTCTACCTCTTCTTACTTCACCATATACCCAAATACTTCATAAATAAATAAATAAAATAGATCAGAAGCCATAAAAAACACAATAGCCTTCAATGTCCCTTCTCTTCTCTCCACCTCCAGACCAAGCCACATTGGCAGCTGGTTCTTGCCTGCACCTTCATCTCAGAAAATTGAGAATTTGCTCCTTCCTGATCATGCATATGCTCCATGCATGCACACTTGAGTTGCTTCTAGATTTTCACTATTATTAATAATGCCACACTGAATTTCCTTATGCTTATCCCTTTGTGCTCTTGAGCACATCTGGAATTGCTATGCCAGCGGTTAAGTGAGTTCATTTGATCTCTCACCAACCCCCCCATTGTACAGTCAAACTTTGAAAAAGTTGAGCAGCCACACTGTCTAGGTCAGAGAAAAAGGAT